TGTTCCAGAATGTGGAGATTAAAAATGGCTCAAAGATTTAGCATTTTTGCTGAATTTGGCCACTCATTTGAATGAGTTGAACATGTGTCTTCAAAGTGAAAATCAACTTATCTGTACTATGTTTCTGACAATATTAGTGCTTGGAATGAAACTTAAATTATGGCAAGATCAAGTTATGTCAAATAATTTCATGCATTTTGATACATTGCCTAAAACAGTTCTATGAACAGTGAAAAATATGCAGGTGTGCTTTCTATTTTGATAAAGAAGTTTGAGATTAGATTTTCTGATTTCAGGGTTTTGGTTTTTTTTTTTATATTTGAAAGTCCATTTGGCCAACAAAAATGTATGACTTACAGATTTTCACATTAAATGCATATTGTTGCCATCGGACATTCAACTTTAAAAAAAGGAAAAAAAAATGATCATGTCTCTTTACCAGACTTGCATAAGCGCTCTCTTACCAAAGAAAAATATCCCTCACTTCACAGTCACACCTTATTCATGTCATTACTTTTTGGCAGTACGTACATTTGTGAGCAATTATTGTCAAGGATGAAGCACAGGAAAAGTAATATTTAATCAAAAATCTGGGATGAACACATGGAGAAGTCACTAGGAATGGCAACCACTGCCATTGAACCAATCTGATGCATTAGTTCCACAAAAACAAAGTTAGACATCCAACTAGTTTTATGCCTTTGTTCCTCCCTGTTTTTTATGTAAAATTTGTTACTTAAATACATTGAGTTTGTATGCATTTTGTGTGACCCATGGCAATTCCTGTTTGCTTGGTATGGCTCAGGCAGGCCAAAAGGTTGGACAGTCATGTTCTATAGGACAGTGGTGTATGATGAGCAGCTAAGTTCAATTGGTTTGTATTGTTAGGTCATACTTGTTTATCTCCACGGTTTCCTTCCAGTCCTGGATAGTCTACTGTTTTATTACTTTGTGGTGTAAGAAAACTTTCTGTGGATAGACTTGAACTGGGATTGCTTCAGTCTCCTGTTCTGTCAGTGGGACACAGTTGGACAATCTACACAGTAATATTGTTGACTGTGTGGTAATTGGGTCATAGAATGAATGCTTCTGTGAATGCATTTGCCGACATGCCTAGAAGTGTTTTCTTAGTCTACTGCAAGAACATTTACCCTTACTTCTATTGTTCTTCAAAACATAACATCTATGGGATATCATCCAACAGCTTGTGTCTCATCACTCATACACTCCATTCCCATTAAACATTCTTATGTGAAATTCCAGAGAAAAGTAGGACAAGAATCTGAATCTAGTAGCTGTGTATCCTACTTCAGGATGGAAATCACATTTTGCCATTTCAGTCTTAGTAATAGCTTCCCATTCAAGCTAAAAAAAAAAAGCTGGACATGGACTGAAACTCCACAGTGAGTTCTAGAATGTTAATTCAGATTTTTTCTTTTCATTTATTTCCTTCATTTTTATTTTGACAGAAAATAGAACAAGTGCAATTTGGCATGAAGAGTGGTAAATTTCATAGAAGTTTTGCTGTCTACCTGAATTAGAGATTTTGTGCCATTTAACTGATTTGTTACTGTTTCTAAGTTCATTGCTTCATTCCCTTGTTCCAGGAAGCAGGAAGTAGGAGCTATGCTTTTTTTTTTTTTTTTTTGGTACCTGATGTATTGCTTTTGAACAATGTATGAAATACTGAGCAGTGTGTTAGTCAAAACTGTCCTGAGCTGATAGTTAAATCATTTTGTGAGGCTAGTGTTTCTGTATTATTTTCTTGTAACAGCTTGATAACAGTTTATTGTTATCTAAGTCATCCTCTGAAACCTGGACTCTAAACTATTTGTTTATCTTGTGATCTCCAGAACCCAGACAGGCAGAATCACAGAGGCAGAGGCACAGAAAGTTAGAGGGAGCCTTTGGTCATCTTCTCATCCAACCCCACTGCTCCATAGGGTCAGCTGGAGCAGGTTGCACAGGGTGGTGTTCACTCAGTTTTTGAGCATCTCCACAGAAGGTCATTCCACAACCTCGATATGCAGTTTGTTCCAGTGTTGACTGGCCTCACAAGAAAAAAACATTTTCTTTTATTCTGATAGAATTTTTTATGTTTCAAACTGTGCCCATTGTCTCTTGTTCTGACAGTAGGCACTAGGGGCTCCATCTTCTTTATGCCTTCTCATTGGCTGTTTATATACCTTGTTCAGCCTGCAAAGGAGTTGGTTCCAGAAGGATCTTATCAAACTCAGCTCTTTCAACTCATATGAGAGATGCTCCAGTCGCTCAGTACAGCTTTGTGGCCCTTTGCTGGACTTGCACCAGTACATCCATATTTTCCAGGGGGCCCAGTAGTGGCCGCAGCACTGACTTCACCAGTGCTGTGCAGAGAGAAGGGATCACTTCCCTTGACCTGCTGACGGTGTTACCCCTAATCTTAGAATCATTTAGGTTTGAAAAGACCTGTAAGATCATTCAGTACAACCATCTTCTCCAAGTCTGTGTCTATACTATGTCCCTAGTGCCTCATCCACACATCTCTTAAATATCTTCAGGGATGAGGACTACACCATTTCCCTGGGCTGCTTTTTCCAATGCCTAAGCACCCTATCTGTGGAAAAATTCTCTGATAACCAATCTAAACTTCCCCACACACAACTTGAGGCCGTTGCCTTGCATCCTGTCACTTGTCAACTGAGAAAAGAGAGCACCAACCTACTTGGAGCAGCCTTCTTTCAAGTAGTTTTAGAGAGTGATAAGATCTCCCCTCCAACCTCCTCTTCCAAACTAAACAGCCCCAGTTCCCTCAGTCATTCCTTATAACTCTTGTTTTTTAGTCCCTTCACCAGCTCTGTTACTCTTCTCTGCACAGGGTCAAGCAGCTCAATATCCATCTTTGTAGTGAGGGCCCCAAACTGAGCACAGTATTTGAGGTATAGTCTCACTAGTGCTGAATACAGAAAGGCAATTACTTGCCTAGTCCTGTTGGCCACACTATTTCTGGTGAAGGCTAGGAGCTGTTGGCCTTTTTAGTCACCTGAGCACACTGCTACCTTATGTTCAGATGGGTGTTGACCAGCAGCTCCAGATCTTTTTTTATTAGGCAGCTTTCTGCCTCTGTTTGGGATTGTTATGACCATTGTAGCACACAGCATTTAGCCTTCTTGAATACCATACAATTGGACATAGCTCATTGATCTAACCTATCTAGGTCGCTCAGCAAAGTATTCTTATCACTGAGCAGATCAGCAGTCCTGCCAAACTTCGTGTCATCTGTAAACACAGCCCTCAGTACTGTAGGACACCTTTGTGGTGAGGGTACATAGATGACTCAAGCTCAGCTAGTCAAACAAAACAGCATTAAGCTATTTCTGAAAAAGGGATAACATATGCTTTAGTCTGTTTCACCATAATTAAACTTTTTTTCCATCCTTTACTTCTTGTTTTTACTATTACGTTCCTGTTCATGCTACAATCTCTTACTACATTAGTTTTTATCTTATTTCAAAGAGTGTTTATGTGGATATGAAAGTGCAAATAATATTCCATTCCATTCAGAAGATCATAATTTTATTCTAGGGCTTCATGCTTTCACAAATACTTGTTTTGAAACTGAAGATAGATGGAGGTAATTCTTTTGAGTGACTATTTCACCTTTCCTGTGTCATTTACCCTGTAATACAATTTGAATATCTTTATTAAGAAACAAAAGTTTGTCTCCCTTGTAAAAAAACTGGTTGGACAGCTGGACTCAGAGAGTTATACTGAATAGAGTTAAATCCAGTGGGCAACTGGTCACTAGTGGTGTTCTTCAGGGTTCAATATTGGTGCCACTCCTGTTTAGTATCTTTATTGATGATTTGTTCAAGGGGATTGAGTGCACCCTCAGTAAGGCTGCAGATGACACCATGTTGGGAGGATGTGTTGATCTGCTTGTAGGAAGTGTTCTACAGAGGGATCTGGATAGGCTATATTGATAAGCTGATGCCAGTTGTATGAGCTTTAACAAGATCAAGTGCGAAGTCCTGCACTTTGATTACAGTAACCCCATGCATCACTACAGGTTTGGGGCACAGTTACTGGAAAACTGCAGGGAAGAAAATTATCTGGGGGGGTTAGTTGAAAGCCAGCTGAGCATGAGCTAGCAGTGTGCCCAGATGGCCAAGAAGGCCAGTGGTGTCCCACCTTCTATGAGAATTACCATAGCCACTGGGACTAGGGAAGACTAGGGGACTGGGACATCCTCTTGTACTTTGCACTGGTAAGGCTGCACCTTGAGTACAGTGTACAGTTGTGCCCCACACTACAAGAAGGAGCTGGAGTGCGTCCAAAGAAAGGCAATGAAGTGCATGAAGGGTCTGGAATGAGGAATGGCTGAGGGAACTGTGATTGTTCTGGAGAAGAGGAGGTTCAGTGGAAACCTTATTGCTCTCTACTACCTGAAAGGAGGTTGTAGCAAGATGGGAGTTGATCTTTTCTGCCAGGTAACTAGGACTAGAGGAAATCACAGAATCACAGAATTGCAGGGGCTTGAAGGGATCTCTAGAGATCATTTAGTTGAACCCCCCTGCAAAACAGGTCCCCTACAGCAGGCTGCACAGGTAGGCAGGTCTTGAATGTCTCCTGAGAAGGAGAATCCACAACCTCCCTGGGCAGCCTGTTCCAGTGCTCTGTCACCCTTACTGTGAAGAAGTTCCTTTGTATATTGGTGTGCAGCTTCCTTTGTTCCAGTTTATGGTCATTTCCCCTTGTCCTATCTCTACAGACTGCTGAGAAGAGGCTGGCCATGTCTTTTTGACTCCCACAGTTAAGATACTTACACACAATAATCAGATCCCTTCTGTGTCTTATCTCAAGGCTGAACACACCCAATTTGCTCAGCCTTTCATCATAGGAGAAATACTGCAGGCCCTTTATCATCTTTGTGGCCCTCTGCTGGACTCTCTCCAGGAGATCCTTGTCTTTTTTGTACTAGGGAGCCCAGAACTGGATGCAGTACTCAGGTGGTGTCCTCAAGTTGCACCAGGGGAGGTTTGCGTTGGGTATTAGGAAGAAAACAATTTCAGAAAGAGTGGACGGATGTTGATTGGAACAGACTGTCCGGTGAAGTGGTGGGATCACCATCCCTTGGAGGTGCTCAGGAAACATGTAGTTGCGGCACTGAAGGACACGGTTTAGGGGGCATAGTGTTGATGGGTTGACTATTGGACTTGAGGTCTTTTCCAACCTTAATGATTCTATGATTCCTCTATACTGATAAATACTCTTTTTTTTTTTTTTTTTTTGCATTAATTTAGCGGCAGTTAATCAATACTAGACTGCATCATTGTTTACCTCGTTATATCTGACATGTGGATAGTCACTTCCAAAAAGATGAATTTCTGAAAGAATTCCTTTTGGCCAAGTCTAATGTATTCCTACTCAACTGTTTTAACTGGAACAGCTTGTTACTTTTCACCTGTATTTCACTTAGTGTTAGGTTGTTTTGCATTTAGTGGTATTACAGAATTGTAGAATGTCTTGGGTTTGAAGAGACTTTAAAATGATGTATTTCCAAGCCCCTTGCATGATGGGGTTTGTGGGATTCTCCTGAAAAGGTATGCTGAAGGGAACGACATAATTAGGTGAAGACCAGTCAAAGGTCTGATAGCAGTTTTTTGCATAATCATCTTGTTTGCTGTCTTGGTGCATAGCCTATGGCAGTTGTGTTGCTGAGAGAACCGATAAACCCGACTGCCCCTCTTGATCATGATCTGAACTGATGTCAAGAGCCTGACCCAGCAACTTCTGGCTGAATGTAGTGCCACACTGTTGTCATGTTGTTTCACGTCAAGCCGGTGCTGCACCAAGCCAAAACCGTATGACAGCACTCACAGATGTGGTTCCATGGCTCTAGGCGTAAAAGAAGTGTAACCAACTCTTGCAGGAACCAGGGGAGGCCTTGCTCTTTCATGAAGCGGGCTACACATAGCTTATAAGACTAACCTCACACTGCAGAAGCAGCATGCACTGTAGCAATTAAGTAACAGTATCAGCAGAGACCAAATGCCAGCAGAGTAGGGACCACTATTGAGTAGGATCTCCTCTCATCTGAACTGAGACCTTCACACTACATGCACCAATGTCTGAACTGACCATCAAACATCAGGTCATACTACTCTCCCTAGCAATATTTAGAAATCTCCCTTCTTGCCAGGGGATATTGGTTATGGCCCTCTCTCAAGGAATTCAGTCAAATACCATGCCTTGACAGACTCCTTTACCTGGCAATTCATGGAGTGTGGCATATACTTTCAGAGTTTCCGTGAGTTATCTAATGGTTTGGTGGGGAGCTAGGAGTGCACATCACATTCAGCATGCGCCCTTGCCCTTTAGCAAGTTGTATGCTTTGCTAAGACCATTTGTTTGTTAGTATATGTTTGGAATTGTTACCTGTTGAGCATTTGCTAACTGAGATTGTAATTGCTTACGGACATTGTATTAAATAAATGTACAGTTAACCACCTGACTTGTGGTCACTGAAGTGTGTTAATTGAATTCTGTGCAACCCCGCTGTTTGTAAGGCGGGGAACAGTGCGCAATAGAAAATCTGCAAGACACTGCTGAATATGGTGGATGACAGGTCTGCAAACAACTTTTGCCTGTATTATGTAAGTATGGACAACATGGTGTTACAAAGATAGATTTAGATTAAATTCACACTATTCTCTTTGCATTAGCTAACAAAATTCATTATCAATCTGTTCATAATTTGTAGCAAAAGCTTTTTGATAGCACAGGTATCTCAGTTTATTATTATTATTTTTAATTTTTTTCTTCTGCATGATATTCCTATTTCTCTGAGTTGGGGAATCTGTTTAGCTATGAAAATGACAAAGCATATGCATGTATTTCAGCCTTTGAGTTGTTTTTTTTGTTTGTTTTGTTTTTGCATTTCATTTTTTGTTTTGATATAGTTCTGGAATATTTAACTTGAAAGTACCCAGTATTTCCTCAACAGAGTTCAAATTTTTTAACTTAGAGGCAAGAAGGAATAGAAGTTAACTTCATGTCTTGTGTTTTGTGGAAACCTCACTCTACCTCTCTCCTTGTGTCTTTTTTCAGTTTTCCTTTTTGGGGTTACATTCAGCACCATCTGCCAGCTTGTAACTTCTCATCACTGGTCATTTCTGCACCTAGACCAGACAGTGAATTTCCTTTTTAAATTGAAATTTTGGCTAGCCCTGCATGCCATCAGAAAATACATAGGTTTTGTTTCCTGTATTAAATATCTTCTTCCTTCAGTATTGTTCTTTCACTTCAAGAGAGGTCTTTATCAAAGCTATGTAGGAAGTGTACAGCTATGATAGGCAATGTGTATGTGTTCAAGTCAATTAATTAACTTTCTCTTTTTAGAGTTGACAGCTCTAAATTGCAGTTTTTGTAATAATTCATTCTCATCTAAAAGGAAAGAGAAGACTATATGGATCACATCTTAAAACTAAAAAATGGAGTTGTTATGAAAATTAGCTATAAAATAAATAGGAAGATAATTGTTTCTTATATCTGCAGGAATTGAATAGTTGCATATACTCACAGATATTAAGAGTAGTTCTGGTAGAAGGAGAAAATAATGTAACGTTGACCTACAGTGAAACCTAAAATTGTGAGTTAATTTGGAGTTGGGTACTGTATGAAGGGGGACTACGATGAATTGCTTTGAACTTCATTAAGTCTTCAGCTGTAAATTGTCTGAAAGCCCACTTCAGTAGTGGCTCGTAATCTGTCCGTTAGCAATGAAAATTTTTTAGCTTACAAAATGTTTTTAGAGCAGTTTAGTTCAGTGACTGAATCACTGGTCCTGTTTGTGACAGAAAATGAGGTATGTTTCTTTTATAATGCCTTATAACTTGGTCTTCCTATGGGATAGAAATCATGCTTTACAGTTGTTTTGAAGTCTTGACAGCTATGTTGTAGTCTGTGGATGTCATATTTTCTTATGCAAACTAATTTCTAGTAATAATTATTTGTTTCTTCTTTCCAGTATCTTTGAGGATGAAGGAATGAAACTACGACAGCTGAAACTAGAGAATCAAGTAAGTGGTTGTGCATAAGCTGGCAAAAATAAATGTGAGGAAAACAAACATTAGTCATCTTATTTTAGAAAGCAAAGCTAAAGACCTTGTTTTCTCTTCTTCTCCCTTCTTCTCACTTCCCACTTTTTCTCTTGATCACCTGGCCTGTTGTCATTTACTTTGTAATTTGTTGCTCAGAACTACATAAGGTAAATAGCAACCATGAGTCTAGGCCACATTGTTCAGTTTCTGTTGTGATATGCAAGGCTGCAGATGAAGTCATAGTGTCATAGATGCTTGAGAACTGGATGTGAAGTGATTAAAAATGGTCTGAAGAATAAAAGCAGAACTGATTGCTAACATTTTTCATTAAAGTTCTGCCTGACTTCTATTAAATAGCTTGCATGGCTTGTAGATTTGATTTCTTTTATGCATTTATTTTTTGCACGTCTTACTCATTTCATTGGGATTGAATCACTACAAGGCAGGAATGAATAATGAGGTTGGAAACTGTAAGTAATTAGCATTTTGAGTCTCAAAGTAAAAGGTTCCCTGAGCAACCAAAAGATGTGTAATACTGTTTTTGAAAAAGATATCCGGTTTCTTTCTACTTACTGTTATTTTTGTCCCCTGCAAAAGAAACAAAAAATGAAAAGAAAACGAAACAACACATTTGCAGCCAAGCATTTATCTAATATTAGATTTTGTCTCTTTTTTTAAAGCAGCTGGGTGCTGTTTGCTGGATGCTAAGATCATCAAATCAATAAAGTATACATTGTTTGAAATTTCAAGTGCTTACCTAAAAGTTAGAAGTTGTGACATTGTTATAATTATTCAGCTGTCCATTTCACATGAAACGGAATTCACTGTATTATGTTATAGATTAAATTCATCAAGGTAGAACATAAAGTTGTGTTGAAATTACATTTTTTAGAAATTCTGTCTCATCTGAGGATCTTTAAGTCAAGACATAACACTTTTCAGGGAACTAATGCATCAGTTAATAGCCCTCTTTCTCAAAACTTGTTATTTCTAATTTGAGTTTATATAGCTTTGAATCCAGACAGATTCATTATTGACTTGACCTCCGTTTACATATGGACACTTATCTAACACACTTCAGAGTTGGGGAGTTAAAAATATCCTTGGTTGTATTTGTAAAAGCTACCTGTAAAGTTTCTAATAACACATGTTGTAAAGAGAAAACAATAAGATAATGAAAAGCTTTAGCTTGAGAAAAAGGTCTTGGAAGTAATTTGTAAAGGAGAACGTAGTGCTAAATGCCATTTAATAACAAGTTCCCATAAGAAGGATGATCTGACTACTTGTTGACGAACCTTGATGTCCGTTTCAGGACTGTTGGCTTGGGGTATGAGCCAGTAGCAACAAGTGGCTCTTATTGCTAGGCACTGTGGTCAATGTATGCCAGTTTGAGATATTGTCATGGAGATGCATCACTGTTCCAACAAAACAAAGCTGCTGGGCTGGATGGAATTCACAGAATCACAGAATTCCTTTGGAGCAACTGCCAGTTAAGCAACTGAGAGGTAAATTCATAGAGTTCATATACTTCCACAATTTGATTCAGGGTTCAGAATTTTCTGTGGTACTGTTTTTTTTTTGTTTGTTTGTTTATTTTCCCTTTTTTTTTAAATTTGATCGAGATTGCAAGCATCAACGAAGCTGACAACTAGAAACTTCCATTAAAATATATTTTAACACCCCATTCCCACTGTAGGTTGGTGATATTTGGTAAGAAATGCTAACAGTCTCTTATTTCGGATTGTATATTTAAGTTTGAATTTTAACTTTGAAAGTCTTCCTTTTACACCAGTAGTACCATTCTTTCTGAAGCACTAAAGGTCAATAGCAGATCACAGTTAGACATAATGGATTCATTACTGTTTGTAGCAGATGTCATGCTTAAGCAATTTTCCTTAACGTTTAGAGGAACTGAGATAAGAATTGCAGAATATTCTTGTGAGATACAGCAGGATTGCGTTTAGCATCTTTGATCACATGGAGAATCTAGAATAAACCTTTGACGTATTAAGGGCATATGTCTCTCATCCATCTTTATGATGTATTTTGAACACTATTATTTGTGTTGTTTATAATGATGCTTGACATCAAGATCTATCTGTGGGTCATATCTGTCTGCCCCAAAGTTTTTGTCTAGTCAAGTTTTGTACTTCGTTTTCCTTGAGAAGAGAGGGGATGACTTCTCAGATGGTGCTTACTTCCTCAGCAGCTCAACCTGTACTGCTGCTAGCTCTCTGTGGATGGAGACAGTAAAAGCTGAAGGCTCATTTCTGACTGCATTTAATATGACATTAGTCTTGACGCTTAAGTTTTGTTAATGCCATCATCACTAGCATTTGTCCCTGCTATCTTATTGTGAACTAAGGAGGAGCTGAAAGAATAGAGGCTATGCCTCAGAAATCCATGCCTTATGGCTTACGAAAGTAGATCACATCAAGTAATAAATAGTATATTGCACCTTCAAGAGGAGTGGTTGAAGCCTTGTTGTGTACCATCTTCCTGTTCATCGTAGTGGTAGGAAGAGCACCAGACTAGTCTGCTATGGTGTATGCATCTGATGCCTCTGGCTTCTTAGGCAGCTTGTTGGAAACTCACTAGAACCAGAGTTGATGGTTTGTGATCATTTAAGCATTTCTTCAATTTTAGTTACGCTTTTCTATGGTGTACTCAATACGTGGGGTTTGCAAAATCCTGGCACCTGTTATTTTTTTAATGAGTTAAATGTTCCTGTGTCACGTGATTTTTTGTAATTTTACATGAAATTTTACTGTGACACAAGGCTGGAGAAAAGAATTTGGTTAGTAGACAGAAGCATGTTTTTTTAAACTTGACCTTAGTGGAATGAGTCTAGAGACACACAGTGCTGAAGGTAAGACTGCTTTGCAACCTTGTGTGAAGAGAAAGAGCTGCTACCAACCACCCCATCCATTAGCTTGTAAATTTTCACAGAATCACACAGAATCACAGAATTGTAGGGGTTGGAAGGGACCTCCAGAGATCATCGAGTCCAACCCCCCTGCCAAAGCAGGTTCCCTACAGTAGGTCGCACAGGTAGGCATCCAGGCAGGTCTTGAACATCTCCAGAGAAGGAGACTCCACCACCTCCCTGGGCAGCCTGTTCCAGTGCTCCGTCACCCTCACTGTAAAGAAGTTCTTGCGCATGTTTGTGCAGAACTTCCTATGCTGCAGTTTCCGGCCGTTTCCCCTTGTCCTGTCTTCATCTCAATAAGCAAAGTTTTAGAGAGAAACCTTTTTAAATCGCTATCAAGTTTCATCACTTTGATTATCTTGAAATTCTTGCGAAAAGGTTTGTCACATCTACCAGCAATAAAGTATATGTTCCAATATGCTTTAAAAAAAATCTAATCTTGTAGAATAATCAGTAAAGTAACTTTAAAAATCATTATGTGCTATACTGACTCCAGTTTCAATTTCCAGTTCTAACAGTAGCTATGTACTTTCTTACTGTTTTTAGGATGTATTTATTTTTCACCTGTCCATTTACTAGGTACAGAAGCCTTGGCAACATTTTTTTTCAAATACTTATTCTATTTTTTTGTAATTTGTCTTTTTCATTCTCCTTTTATGTTAACTATTAAAGATTTAGAGAATAGAGAAGAACTTTTTCACTTGGCATTAATTTATCCTAATGTATAATATATCCTTGAAGACTTGCATTCTTCTGGTTGATCTGACTATTCTCCTAGAGAAAAAATATAACTGAGTATTTTCTAAGAATTTCAATTTATCTTACTTTTCTCTAGACTGATCTGATAATCTCTGTGCAATTCTATGTATTTTTAGGACGATCCTTGCAAATAATTCTGCAGTACGTAATACTATGTGTGTTGCAGTCTAGTCTTCAAAGTGTAATCGTGGGTTTTTGCTTATTTAAGTATTTTGGAGAAAAGTACCTGAAAAGCATAAAGAATAAAGAAAAGGCCAAGAACTGAATTGTGCTAGAATTTTTAAAGGAGTGGTTGCATGTGAAACTGTCGCAAGCAGAGATAAAAAGCCTAGCAGGAAAGGAAAAATCCCATGAGATAGAAGAATCATAACAGGAGAGGAAAGAATTTGAAAATCGTTTGTATCTCAAGTGAATTGAGTTATTGGTACTGTTTATCCGATGGATTCTTGCAGACTGAGAAGAATTAGGTGAAGCAAGTTTATTTTTGTCCCAGGAGGAACTGTCAGGGGTTTTTTCAGTACTAAAGAAGCTGTCATGATTAATCTCCATCTGTGGCAAGTGGTCTGCAATTCTTCATCATGCATCATCTTAATTTTTAAGATTTAAGCATGGCTGCCTTTAAAATGATGCAGTGCCTGTATTTGCTTTGAGCTTGGAAGTTTTTCTGCTTACATTTAATAGGAAATCATGAACATCAAGTGTGTATGGATGATGGAAAAATATTTTGTTTTTAACGCTAACACTTGAATTTCTTTCAATCCTGAATTAAATACAAATATTTTGTAAGGCTGATCAGTTTTTGTGTTACTAAATCAGTCTTATTTTAATGACTGACTTTTTTATTTGTTTCTTTTATTCCTCTGTCTTATCTCTTAACATTAGTTTTTGGGAGCTGTCTCTTCTGAGTTATATCCTCTTGTGAGTTTGTGGCCTTTGTCACAAAGGCCATGTCCTTTGCAAATCTTGAACTGCTTTTACTGCTGTTATAAATGTTGTGGCAGCATTTATAACTGCAGTGGCAGAGTGAGCTCTGATGAAAGATGATTAGAAATGGTATGCTAATATAATGAAAAACTTAACTGCCATGTAATCAACAGGACAGGAGCTTTTATTCTGACACCTATCTAGGTGATAGTTCTTTTGGTACAAATTGAGTTTTACTGTACAAACGAATGAGGAAAAAATATACATTCTCTGCATGCTTGGGCAGTTGTCCTAGGAGACAAAAAGTTTAGTAATTTAATTGTAACTACATTGGAAGGAGTGGAGAGTCCTTGTGAGCTGGTTAGTTTGCTCTATCAGCTTCAGTATAATGAATGGAGTAATAAAGTTTGCAGTACATGCTGCATTTTATAACATATACTTTATAAAATGTTTCACAGTGGATTCTAAGTGACTACTGAATTTGGCTGTTTATATTAAGGTTTACTGCAATTTTGTCTGGAGAAAAGGAGTTAAAATTATCTGTTGATGGTCTCAGGATAGGTCTCCCATCAGTGGAGAGCCAAAAGCAGTGTCTCACTCCAGACACTGTAGTATCTCTGCCCAGGATTTCTGTGAGTGATAACAGGAGCACATTATTTAGGTTGATTGGAAATCCTCACCAGTGGCTGAGGTGCTGGCTCTCTGGTTACTTATCCTTATTTCATGCTTTTTCTTTTATTTCACAGAGAGCTCTTCTAGAAAAAAAGCAGAAGAAGAAACGTCTTGATCCCCTGATGGTGCAGCCAAATCCTGAGGCAAAGCTGCACAGGTCAAAGCCCAAAGGATGTGAGGAACAGACTCCTTTAGTAGAAACTCCTACCACTTTCCACAATAATGTTGTGTTACACGGTAAGTACCTGATTGTAACAATGTTCTGCCACCATGCCACTGCATGCATTTTATGTCATAGATGTTTACCTGTGTTGCTGTGACAGTAGTCAAGCCATAAGGTAGACGGATCACAAATCTTCTTATGTACAGCAATAGAACTGCTGTATAATATGACAGAGAAATATTAAAGTGTGTAACAAGTAAAAATCTTATCTTCAATTTTGTGACAGCTGAGAATCTTCATCTGCTTTTGAGTAATCTCTCCCTTTTGTTAGGTTAAAAAGAACTGTAGAATGTATTGGTAGGGAGGTGCAAATCCCGAAGTAAAAGTCAGAGAGTTTCCTGAAGCAGTAGGACAAAGAAAAGAGGATAGTCCTGTGTTGACAGCCTTTACTGTTCTTCATGGTATCATGGTATACATGTTTTTCAAAATTGGGTATGACTAAATCATAAATAATCAAAACAAAGAGCTTGTGAATACCAGATTAGATTCTGGCTGTTTTTTATCTCTTTTTTTTTCTTCTTTTTTCTTTTTTTTCCTAAGGCCTTCTGGGAGACAACAGAAACATGACAAGCAAGTTATAGGGGTCCAGAAAGGCACAAGCATGACATAATCAGGGAGCCAAAGCCTCCCCTGGTCTGAAGACATTACAGTAAAATAGCAGCCATTTTGTTGAGAATGAAAAGAAATGCATTAGTGAGAGCTTTAAAGACTTGCATGTCATAGGATGGAAAAAAGAGTAACAATTAAACTCCTGGATTGTAGCAGAAATGTCAGGAAGTAGTTTATGATAGCTAAGATCCTGTCAGCCTATCAAGAAAGTAATAGCAAATAGGCTTTGAGAGGCATACAAATGCAGAATGTTGTATTGCCACTCTTAGACTAATAGGAAATTAATTTGTGGGGTAACATTTGGAATAAACAAACAAACCAGAGTTACCTAGTTGGTAACCTATTACCTAGTTACCTATTTATTTCCATGTAAGTTACAACAGATAGGAAGAACATATTAGGAACAGATAGGAATAACGCTATTTAATACAGCAAATTCTGAGCTACAAAACATTATTTTTCAGCATACTCACTCCCATTAGCTGTGCATTTTGACCTGCAACGAGCAAGAGCCTGTATTCTGTGCTTGTAAAATTGAAAAATAAAATGAACATTTGCACCAGTGGAGGTAATCTACTGTTGCTGTCACCACTGCTGAAATGTACCACCTGTCGCCTCACTGTGCTAACATCCACTGTTCAGTCTCCATAAACAGTTAGGAAATGTTGATGAACGTCAATGGGTATGATTTTTTCCACACAGAGAAATTCAATTCCACACCTTCACTTTTCAAATGCAGTTCCATGTCAGATGCCATTTTGTCAGGCTGTCACACAGCAACATGTGCAACGATAATGGAATATTAATGGGAAGGTTCATTCTCTACTGCCATACCACCAGTGTTTGTCTTTGATGCCATTTGCCAACATAATAAAATAGGGGGCTGCACTTTCAGAGCAGTCCTCATATTATGCCAGACCATGACATCAAGAGATCTCCCCCAATTACAAAGTGCAGTGCATGCTGTGTTACGTGTTTAAACCTGGAAATATCATTTCTACATTTCTACTGAAACTAATGAAGGCATCAATTTACTCTTTTGTTTGGCCTATGCCTTTGGATATTCGTAACAAGTTGATTGGTGATGTTTACTTAGCACACTCATTTAACATCATTACTTGTAAACAGTGAGTTTGAAGGTTGGAGCAAGAGAAAAAAATAATTGCCCAAATTGCACATAACAACTTGCATGGCAAATACCATACATCTTAATTGCTCTAGCCATTGGAAAAAAAATAAAAGCAATCACCATATTTATAAAAGGGGAAACTGATGTATGTAGCGTTGGAAGTAACGAGATCTGTATCACACTAAGGCCTAGCTTGACAAAGGTTGAATTCAACAAGAATATGTTAATACTTTAAAGCATGCTTAAGTAAGAACAGATGAAAAGAACAACCATTCTGGAATATATCTTTATCTGTAAAAATGAAACTTTTACAGTTTGTTTCATTTTGGCTTGCAGGCATTGATGGACCAGTTTCTTTCTTGAAATCAGAAGTGCAAGATTTAGGAACCAAACTCCAAACTTTCTCTGTTGGATCTTCCATAACAGCAGAAAATGCAGATGAGGAAAACAATGGACACGCTCTAACAGAAAAGTTAGGCAATGCAGATCTGCAAGAAATCTTACAGAAACGAGGTAAGTGTTGATAATGGGCAGATGTGTTTTTTAGGATTCCTCTGCTTGTAATTTTTTTTTTCTGTAGCATTAAAAATAATTAGAAAATTAAGAAACAATGAAACAAGTGTTTGTAGGGCTTTCATTCACAACTGGTAGATTGTACAGAATGCAGAAATGCAGATTTGCAGTTTCTTCTTCTGTTATTAACTGGATACAAATGTGCTGTATAATTATCTGACCTTTTCAAATAAGTTAGTGACACAACTCTGCGTTTCACATTTTGCTAAAATTCAGGGCATTTTAATTCCAGATATTATGTATCTGGATATGATACTTGAATATTTTCATAACAGTAGAACCCTCTTAAACCACTAATGCTTTAATTTAACAGTTGAGAAGTCTAATAAGAGAGATGTTCTTCTTGAGTCAGAGGCTGTATCCCACAGAGTACTTTCCCATGGGAGCATCCATCTCTGTTGCTGAGTGACTTACATGGCTGTCAGTACTGCAGGAAGGCATTTTGTTGAACATAGCCTAAACAAAATAATTGGTAGTGTTTAATACAGCAGCTTATTTTATTAGAAGAGCTTGTGTCCCAGAATGTTTCCAATATTCTTCATAATTACAACCATGTATAGGAATAGTTTTATTCAGTTGTCACATCCCACAGCTGTTTACATACGAATAGCAACATCACAGGAGATTTAGGGAAAGAAGCAGGAGAGAATATCCAGAAACTTCAGCAGAAATTAGTGAAGGTAAAACATTGACTGTGAATGATGACATTGACCTGGAGTACTAGGGTTAACACCTTTCCTCTTTTAAGCATGCTTTGAGAAGTTTACAGACAGATCGTTAAGATGTTTTTCTGTTTTATCTGAAATAAAGAATTCCCAGCAGTGCCCCCTGTATTAGAACATTATTGTAAAATTGATTCACAGAAAATAATTTGGCTATAGCAGACTAAGCCTATTAATTTTCTATAGTTCATTATGTACTTTTCCATTCTACAGCAAAATTAAAGAATGGAATCACAGAACCAAACAACGTAACTCTGTGTAGAGAGGAAACACCAAACAGTGATACATACAGATATTTTATTTATCCACATCACCTCTATATAGCTGTGATTAATATTAAATATATTTTGGGACAATCAAATCAGTATTAGTATTTGAGACTTGGTAAGTTATTGCTACTGATGTACTGATGATATAAAACAGAAGAAGCTTTAACTAACGAATTGTCATAATCCACTAAGAGGAAATTATGAAGAATGTAAACTGTACAGAGTTCAACCTACAGGGTAGGTTTTACCTACCACTATAGAGTTGGATTGCCTTTTTTGTTCTTGAACTATGGAGAGGTTGTTGGTTTTTTGCATATAAAAATAAGCAAAATTTAATTCATTATAGCACGTTGATTATATAATATATTGCTTGGTAAAATATGTATTAATGAAAGCTTTATCAGCCACAATCTGACAGCTGTAAAATGTTTCTACTGCTGTCAGTTTTATATACATAGTATAATCAGAATTACAACGCTCAGAAAATGATATAGGACAAGAAGAAAATCAGCAATTTGAAAAAAAAATCGATAATAGTTACAAAAAGATTATATGCGAATTAGTGATGCCACATACTCATGACACTTTGTTTTAGAGGTTATCTGCTTGATTCTGTGTTCTGACAGGAATTTCAGGCAGTTTGAATTTTGATGAGGAGGACACAGAAGAAGAGGAAGAAGTAAGTAAGAGACCAGCATCTCAGTCACCACATCCTGAATCTGAGAGGCTTCATTCTGCAACCGTCGAGAAATCCTTTGCAGTAGGTGTTTTGAAATGAGTTTCTGATGAGAATTGGGCGTGTTATTGATTTTACTACTAACCCCATTAGCACTGTGTTAAAATACTATTTTGCAGTTATCGTTAATCCTTGAAGTCAAAGGACAGTATTGTCAGATTACCTAACAGAAGAACATGTAATTAATAGGAAGACCTGGTAGTCATCAAAGGAACAATGATGGGTGAAGAAACTTGACCCAAGTAACCTAATCAGTGAACAGGGAAACACTCTGAATCACGTGCTCCTGTGATGCTCAAAGAAGAAAGATTAGATCGTTGTCTCTGGTTCAAAATCTGCTAAGATGATTCAGAGAAGCTCTGCAATGCCATACAAATTAAGAGAGATTGCTACCTCTATTATAGGTTTTATGGGATGGGATGCAAGGGGGAACAGAATTTTGGGATGGAGTGGGGAAAATTCTGGGATTGTACAATGCTTACTATGAGGTGCTAGAGAGAGGGACACAAGGGAAGAGGATCAAGTTGAGTCACGAGACAGCAAGCGTAAGAGAACAAGGAGTGAATAAAGAGGATAAAAGGCTCCAGGGATCCTGGATCTTGGAAGTCCATGCTAATATTCAGGTGACCCAACTGAGTGTATTTGTGAGGAGGCTGTGTGTATACTGTTCTACATTAGCCAGTGAGTAATACAAGAGATCTAATTGCTAGTAAATAAAAAAACTGAGGTGTGGTTGACAGTTGCTGGAGATGACTTGGAAATTCCTCATGAGGGAATTTCAAGTGAGTCTGTATGTGTACTCACTCAGATTTTATGCTGTATGAAGCTGCTAATAGGGATAAACGAGCAAACTCATTCATCTCCAAGATGGAGGAGGAATACTCCAAATTTTGCAGTCTGCAAGGTTTCACAGAATCACAGAGCATGTTGAGCTGTAAGGGACCTGTAGGGATCACAGATTCCAAGTTCTGGCTCCCCACAGAACCACCCAAAATTCAAACCCTTTGTCTGATTGTCCAAGCAGTCATTGGACAACACTGAATTCTAGCGGCTTGGCACCTTGACCACTACCCTGGGAAGCCTGTTGCATGACCAGGCATCCTCTCAGAGAAGAATCAAACCGAACACCCAATTTCACCCTTCCCTAATGCAGCTCTGTGCCACTCCCTCGGATCCTACAAATGGAAGTTTGGGAGGTGCTGGCCCATGTTTTCCTCTTCTCTTAAGGAAAGGACTGAGAAGCACCCAACTCAGGGCAGTGGGCTCCCTCCCTCCTATCCGAGGGCCCAGGACTCTGGGTTGAGTGAGCTTTCCTCGCTGCCCTGCCCAGCAGCATGGTGAGGCCTGTCCCAGCCCCATGTCATGGCTCTGCTGTTAGCGCTGACACCAGGCCATACCAAGCTAGCTTCTTCTAAAAAAATGACTTTAATATCTGATATATTACTGCTAGAATTCCAGTTTCTTTGATGACCATAGCATGCATCCTAACTGTATATATATTATTCCAAGGTATCTCCAGCACTGCCGTCTTACTCCATTTCTGCTGCTTTTTTGAACCAACATAAGCTTAGTGATTTTTTCAGCCAGAGAACACCAGTCTGTTTTACTGCAGCATCCATCCGGCATATCATGCTGCCTTATTTACCACAGGGTTTGAAATTCTAGAAGCAGAGAAGCTCTTTGTTTAGAATGTTTGCACTGTCTCAACCTGTTTTCTCATTTCTAGTAATTCACTCTGGATAACAGCTTTATTTTCTCTCCTTCCCTAGGAGAGCTAGAGTAAAAAAGTTTTTATCCACTGTCTTTGGAGAAACACAGATGTTTTATCATTCAACTTTCTTTTCTCAAATATGTTCTTGGGACATCTGTTTCAGCAGACCTTCCTTTTCTTGGGGAATACTGAAATCTCTGGTCTGATGTTGGTTTTCTAATATGATGGTTTTTCCTGTAGGAAATAGGTGCTTCCTGTAGTCCATCCCCTCAGGCGGTTGCACATCTGGGAGAAGTAGAGAACTTGGAGGAATTTGCATTGTGCCCTGCGCCCCGTGGTATTACAGTCAAGTGTCGAGTCACTAGAGATAAGAAGGGAATGGACCGAGGCCTCTTCCCTACTTATTACATGCATCTGGAAAAGGATAACAACAGAAAGGTATTGAAAGCAGTGTACAGTGTCTTGGCTGTTGTATTCCTAGACATAACATTTTAGTGTAATGAAGAACACTGTATAAATCAATAAGAAACTAGAAGCAGAGGAGAGACATGAGGATGAGGGAAACTTGTATCTGGTCAAGACACTAAGGAAAGTGTTTGCAAGTTTAGAAGCCAAAATACAAAGAAAGATGAAATTAAAAAGTTTTAAAATGTCAGGGTTAAAGAAAAGCAGGGAGACTGAGCTGTTCCAGATGAAAAGAGGGAAAAACTGGAAAAGACAATTGCCTTTAATCTAGAATGCTGAATCATTTAATTGGAAGAACAGGATTTCAGGTTGTATACTTGTGTGAGAGGTCAAAATCAGCAACACAGTAATAACAGTTCAGAACAAAAGTGGGAATGGATATGGGAAATAGAGAGGTAACAGTCTGGATAGCAGTGCCTCTGCATTCTTTCAAAACTCCAGTCTTGATAAAAGTTTTGTATTTCCAGATGTTTCTTCTTGCAGGTAGAAAACGAAAAAAGAGCAAAACGTCCAATTATGTCATATCAGTTGACCCAACTGATTTGTCCCGGGAAGGGGAGAGTTTCATTGGAAAACTCAGGTAAGAACAATCAATAAAAACTGCAGAAAAATTTACATATTCTGCAGTGGGATAGATGGAATTTACATATTTGTTTAGTTAGAGTTATGGATAGCAATCTGCTCTCTATTCAGAGAGAAACAATTTGTCACTTCTAGCTTACTGTATTCAAATAGGTTGTCAGTCTTTATTCAGTTACCATTCATAATGATGATTTGGAGGAGTTCTGGCTCAGTGCTTTTCAGGACAGGTTATGTGCCCAGTTTTACAAGGGGGTCTTTACTGAAATTCCTTACTGAGATGACTGGAGAAAGACTAGGTGACTGGAGATGCCTAACTTTTCTGTCATGCACACATGCTTTTGGAAGATAATAAAATTTTCTACTGATGCCTCTTTCTTTTTGTTTGTCTTTCTATAACCTGACATTAGGTCAAACCTCATGGGAACTAAATTTACAGTCTATGACCATGGAGTAAGCCCAATAAAGGCACAGGGTCAAGTGGAAAAGGCTCATACACGACAAGAACTCGCAGCTATTTATTATGTAAGTAGTGCCTCTTCCCTTTTGCCTCCTTCTAGTTTGTAGGCTGATTACTAAGGAGACAAGGTTCACAAAATGATGCTGCCTGCAGCCTCCTCCGTTAAACTTTAGAACTGATTTCCACCAGGTAAGATAAAGGGCAGAAGCCTCAAATATAATTTCTTATGAGTTTGATTTTTTTTTTTTCATTGATGTCAGAGAGAGACAGACCCAAATTAATGTTGTAACGAGCTTGTTACTTGACCAAAAATTGTTAGACTCCAATCCTGAGGTTTAAGGAAAATCTGAGATATTTCACAAAATCCAATTCAGTCATGTAGAAGTTTTTATCTTTTATCATGGGTACAGTAGCAGAAATTTAAAGGTTCATTAGCCTGAAGCATGATTTTAATTTTTTTTGGCTACTGATCTTAGTGGCACATAGAGGAAAAAATGGACTTGATAATTCCAGTACTAACCTGTTCACAGAAATATCAGCAGATCTTTCCTTTGTATACAGTACCTAACTGTACAAAGCAAGGTTTTAAAATGAGTATAGCAGATATATAAAGTCAGCTTTTCACATATCAGTACTTTTCATATGAAGTTTTGTGAAGTTTATATATGAATAAAATCAGTGCTCTTGTTCTCAATTATGTTCCTAGATCTTTTAAAATGAAATAAGAGAGACTGCAACTCTGAAGAACTTTATTCTTCATCTGTTAAAATGCACTAGCACATCAGGAGAAGTTGTATCACTTAATTCAGCGATTCTAAGAGATTCTGTCTTAGAAAAGTGCTGACATGGGTACAGATCACTTCAGACCACTGGGTTTTGGTTGACATTATTAAATAAGTGGTTTAAGAATACCAAGAAAGACTTCTTTCCTTTGCTTTCTGTATTAACTCTACATGGAGCAGAATCATGCAGTACTCTGGAAAAATCTATTTGTTTTAAGATTGAGGCTTGAATGGATGATGACTACCTTGCCTTCTAGTTCTATTCTTAATCATTAATCTTAATCAAAGAATAAAAATGAGAGAAAATAGTATGTCTACTCGTAAACACAAGTAACGGAACCTAAAGAAAAATGCCAGTCATTCTTTAGGAACATTCTTGTGATATCCAGCTAGCACAGTTATAGCCAGCAAATCTCTGAAAATAACATAAATGTGAATTCAAGTTCAGCTTTGCTGTCTTTCGTTCTGCGTGATGGAGTATATCCATTCCTGAAAATAGTGTCTTTCCTTGTATTTCAGGAAACCAATGTATTAGGATTCAAAGGTCCCAGAAAAATGTCTGTGATCATTCCAGGAATGAATATGAATCATAAGCGAATTCCAGTCCAGCCACGAAATGTGAGTTACTGAGTTAAAACTTTCTCAAGGAAGTGTGGGTGTTACTGACAATCATTCTTGATAGAGAGTGGTTGGTCATGGCTGTGGCTGTTACTGAGTCTAACAGGTAGTAACAGTGTTGCTCAAAGGTGATGATTAATTTATTCTTGCCTTTTACATCACTTGTAAGTTTCTGAATCCTGTTTGTATTCTTATTTGTCTTTTAGGCAGCCTAAATGTTACTTACTTGGCTATTGCAAATGGCTACTCTGTCTTGTTGCTGTTGCAAGTACAACCCCTTTTCATCAAAGGCCCTTAATGTATTTTTCTCACCCTTTATATCTACTGCTTTGTTAGCAGGCAAGCATAGTGACTGTGGCCAAGGCTGAAACATAAAGCTGTTCCAAAGTTTTATAATCACAGAATTGTTTGAGTTCCAAGGGACACTTAAATGTCGTCTAGTCCAACTCCCCAGTAATTAAAAGGGACATCTTCATCTAAATCAGGTTGCTCAGAGCCTGGTCCAGTGTGACCTTGACTGTCTCCAGGACTGGGACATCTACCTCCTCTGGGCAACCTGTTCCAATGTTTCACTACCCTCACTGTGAAAGACATTTTCCATATATCCAGTCTAAATTTCCCCCCTTTTAATTTGAGACAATTTCCCTTGTCCTGTCATAACAGACCCTGCTAAACAGACCCCTTCTTTCTTATAGCCCCCTTTTAGATACTGAAAGAGTGCTATCAGGTCTCCCCAGAGCTCTTTCAGCCTGTCCTCATAGTGGAGGTGTTCTTCCTCTGAATACACTCCAACAGGCCCATGTCTCTCCTGTACTGAAGACCTCACATTTGAATGTAGCACTCCAAATAAGGTCTCACCAGCTCAGAGTAAAAAGAGGCAGGATCACTTCCCTTGCTCTGCTGACCATGCTTCTTTGGATGCAGCACAAGATGTGCTTGGCTTTCTGAGCTTTGAAGGTACATTGCTGGCTCATGTCTAGCTTGCCATCCACCAGTGTACCCAAGTCCTTTTTGCTCCATTGTTTTGTTCCTCATTTTGTATTAGTAGTGGGATAGTGGGAATTGCCATGATCCAGTTGCAAGACTTTGCACTTAAATTTGTTGAACTTTATGAGGTTCACCTGGGCCCACTTCTGGAACCTGTCAGGGTGTCTCTAGATGATATCTCGTCTGTCAGGCATGTTGACCATCCCACAAAGCTGAGAAGTTTAACTGTTTTTGTCTTCCTTTGCTGTAGTGTGATGCCTCTGATTAAGTAATATTGCCTGCACATTAAAACAAAAACAAATATCTAAACACAACTTGTTTGTTCCAATTTTTAAAGTTCTTTTTGCACCTTTATAAAAGTAAAATGAAGATAAGAATAAGTGCATTAAATAATTATCTTAATTAGAACAAGCTTTACTTTAAGGAAAATGAATTTTTTAGAATAACCTATTTTTTATCTGTTTGCAATACTAAAGCACTTCAGTGCTTTTTCAGCCTGAAAATACTGCTTTCTGATCACCTCCTTCCTGTTAATCAACTTAAACTTCTTGGATTCTTTTTCTTGTCAGTTTTAGCTTATATTATTACATTTTATGTTATTTGTTGCATAGCTTTTAAAATAAAATCACGTCTTGTGTCTCACTACAGTTTCCAGTTCCTTGTAAGTAATTTTTTCTCAGTCTTACTGTACTATTTTGCCTCCTTTTTGCATCTTTTAGTTTTTATTTCTCTGTATGTTTTTCATATCATGCACCTTTTATTAGACAACGTAGGATGACATTTAACCTACTTACCTCGTACTTACATCTCCTTCAGCCTTTGGAAACACCTCATGACACACAACACAGCCACGAGGCATATGCATTAACTACGTAGTTAATTTTACATTATTTTCTTTTGTTTCAAAGTTTAGAATATTGAAAATAGAAGGTTTACAAATGAACAGAAACCATATAAATCTCAAAAAGGAGGTTCCTGCTAGCAGGATGGCAGTCATCTGTGATGTGTGAATTGCTGTCTTTTCTGTCCACGTGCATGCTTTTTGTCGCACTTTTTTCTTGTTTGGGTAGAGATATGGTAATAGTTTATAGAACAGAAAGGAGTGCTTAGAAAGTATTTTCTTGTTACTTGCAGGATACTTTCAGTAGGACTGAGTTTAAGTGCCAGCATTTCATTTAGTAGGAAATGACGCTGAAGTCACAGAATGCACATGTGAGAGAGGCAGTGCTCAAAAGCAGAGTCATTCTGAATCTGATAAAATGTTTCTTTCTTCTAAATAGGAAAATGAGAGTCTTCTGTCAAAATGGCAAACTAAAGATTTAGAGAACCTCATTGAGTTGCACAACAAGGCTCCAGTCTGGAATGATGATTCTCAGTCCTATGTTTTGAATTTCCATGGGAGAGTCACTCAGGCCTCAGTGAAGAACTTCCAGATTGTCCACGACAATGACCGTAAGAGTCTGGTGGAGAGTGGAGGAGGGAGTTATTTAAACAGGAAAAAAACAGTATATTTCATGAGGTTTCAGAGGAATAGAACACTATTCCTGGAGAAGGGAGACTGGGTGAAGGAAGTTAGCTCAGAATTACTGGGGAATTCTGTCGAGAAAACTACAAAAGACCTGACTTTTTTGGGGTGAGTGCAGAGAGGCTGCTTTCAATAGCAGCATGAAAAGGAGAGAGAGGAACTGCAAGTCTCTTGCAGGGGAAAGAAAGAGTTAACATCACACCTTCAATGCAATGAGAGACTGGTTTGAGCCTTGGTTCTTAGAAGGAAGGTAATCTGTAGAATGCCACAGTCACTACAGTCAACAGATTTTAAAGCCAGTTTGGTGAGAAAGATGGATACACCAACTGCGTATATTTGGGACTGATAGACACTTTTAAACTTCTTTTTGTTTATTTTCTTTGCTTACCTCTAAAAATTGCTGGTCTCTTTTTTTTTTTTCTCCCCAGCTGACTACATTGTGATGCAGTTCGGTCGTGTAGCAGAAGACGTTTTCACTCTGGACTATAACTATCCTCTCTGTGCTCTTCAGGCTTTTGCTATTGGACTCTCCAGCTTTGATAGTAAATTGGCCTGTGAATGAGAAACAGCAGACTTGAGACATAGAACTCACTCCCGCCTCTGTATCTTGTTAGAATTCCAGGTGAAGTAATGAAAAGCACATTGGGGGTGGAAGAATACTGGAAGACAAACTTTTGTGAGCTTATTGGAAAGTAAACAGCAATCCTGAGAGCATTTTGGTATTTAACTGTTGACCATCTTAGGAGACTATCTCAAGACTGAGTGGTCTCTGTACACTTTGTGGAAGAACAAGGAACACAGATGATGTTTTTGTTGTCAGAATTGATTTTGCTTTCAGAATTTTTGCATCAGCTGCTGCTTGAGGAGGCAAAGGAATTTGTTTCACTAGCTGAAACCCATTGCAGCTAGAATTAGAAAAATAATGGTTTAGTGTTCACATACCTTGAATCTTCAGCAATGCCCATGGAGATGATGCTACTGATATTACTTTGAGTTTCTGGTGAGATTAATTAAGAAAAAAGGAGAGTAGTTATGGCATATATTCTGTCTTGCCCTGTGCAGCATTTTGCAGCCTGTTAACAACAGTGAAAGGGAAAAGGATTCAGGTTAAGCCTACACGCAACTGTAGGTAGTGGTCAACAAACACAGAAGTGGACTGAGATGCTGGCTCTAATGAAAGATGTTTCTCTTACTTTGCAGAATGAATCTCTGTTAAACCTGATAGTCCATTTCCCTTTCATTATCCTAATTGCTCCATGTCCCTTGATATACTTTTTAGCAAATGAAGAATCACTCCTTTTTAATTTGGAAAAATTATATCCATTGGTGTATCTCTTATTTTGAACTGTGTGAAATATAAGATTGAACAGACGATGGAACATGACTTTGACTGAAAGTAGTATTGTACTGCTCCTGAAAAGCACTGTTTGGACTGAACATCTGAATCTAGACCTTATGGTGATCAGAAATACTTTTTAACTTGTCCTTTATTTGTAAAATTTTCTACATTTTTAGGAACGAGCGAGATGTAACTCATTTCAATTTTTGTTGTTCAATGTGAGATTATCTCAAGTTAGGACACAGTTGTAGGTTTCATGTAAATAATTTGAATCTGCCTGTAAGAGTAAGATACCTCAAGAGGAGATTACTGATGTTTTCAAAGGCATCAGTTGAGTTTAAAAAAAAAAAAAAAAAGTATCACGGGGCTGTATAATGTTTCTTTCCCATGTTCCCATTTAAATGCTAGATTGTACAATTTGGAGACTGTAGGTTACAACATTGATTCATACGGCTTTGATTTATCAGTGAATCACTACACACTGACATGCGAGCCTCAGTGCACACATCTGCTGTGCACTAAAGCAGAACAGCTAATAACTTGCCACTGCCATGGCTACTATGCATATCCATGATGAGTCTGGAAAACTGTATCTTCCATTAAGACAAGAAATAGCTTTCTTCAGTTTTACATGTTACTATTATCAGCAGACGCGCTCTATTTCATGCTCCTAAGAAGCAGGCTTACTGTTTTTGGTCTCCAGAGTCTTTGCAGGTAGTTATCACTTGCTCTTTCAAAATAGAAACAGAAAATGACTTAACAGGGTTTAATTGCCCAGGAAAAAAACAAACAAACAAACAAAAAAACAACAAATAACAGTAATCATTTGTAAACTTTGTATTTAGTTGTAAATTATAAACTGTTGCTGGGAGGACCAACTCTACAAAATGCTGGAAGCCCAATCTTAAAAACCCATTCTGTGTTAGCTGGAGAGCCATTGTATTCAGAGAGATCTCATCAGCACATCAGTCAGTGAAGAGAACTGATACCATGAATACCCTTCGTGCCTTCATGTACTTCCTGCTCATCAGGCCAGGGACAAGATCTGGCAGTGTTCTCAAGTTATGTGCGGCTGAGTTCTTTGACTGGTGGTTCTGCCTTACTTTTACTCATCCAGAAATACTAAGAAGTCTGATAGTAATCTGATTATTTTTTTTCCGATTAGGACAATATGAAAGAAATTGCACTGTGTTAGTTTGATGTGACTTGAAGGTGTTGAAGGTTGAATGCTGATTTGCAATTCAAGATGATTTTACTCTATTCTCAAAAAGTCATGGTAGCATTGCTTGACAATTACGCTAATTAGCAGTGGATCTTCAAGTTGATGTCAGATCATCTTCACTGGGCCAAAGTCTCAGAGTCTTGGTCAACTTCTGTGGACAGATTAACTGCATAAGTGCTTTTTTATCAGATACTGTTTTACATCAATTGTATTTATAATTTTTATATCTCAATGCAAATAAATAATTTATATATTGGAAAACTCAATAATTCTAAACGAGATTTTTTGTTTTCTTTCTGCTACGATTTTGTCACTTGTGGCTGTTACTTGTTCCTCCTGTACTAGTTACTTCCTCTGTTTCTTCCTGTCTGCTCGTATCTTGCTCTCTTCTTTTATACACCTTTTCCTTTGTTATTCTCAGTTCTGTTCTGTTGTGATGTTTTCTTCATACACTTAGAAGCCTAGGAATAAATGCAAGGTTATTGTCTATTAATGTCTTTGTTTTTTTTCCCAAAGCAAGGTTTCTGGTATGGTTTGTGGTTCCCATTTGATTACTTTTTTGAGCTGCTTGCACTTCTTAGTTTCATGTTTTTAATGCTTTCCTCAGTCTCAAGATAGTGGTTTTGAGACGGTTTATTATACATTTTCCTATCCTCCATCTGAACCTGTTCTGCTACTGAAGTACAGTACGGTGTATTTCTGAATCAAGAGCTAAGATGGTTAGGGGGAACACCAAGTTGAAATGGTGATTTTTTGTTACTATCAGCAAAATATCTGCTTAATACTTACTGTGCTGCTCTACATTCTGATATCTGTAAATCTATCAGTTACCATTGAAATTAGTATCTTACCTCTGTTAAAGAAGGCAAGAAAAACCATTCCCCTGGTTTCCAAGTCAAGAGCTGATTACTGTAACCACTGTTAGTCTTGAACTCTTGATCTCTTGAACTTCATGGTCTGCTGAATTCTGGTCGTAACATGTTTTGTGTGGAATTATTCTTTGCTGAAAGCAAATTCAGAAGCAAACTAACTTCACCAAAACAATTAAGGTAAATGTTATTATAACTGTAACCTACTCTGTAAATATTTAAACTGAAAATACATAAACAGGTGAACATATTCTAGAGGATGGGAATGGGTGATCGTTTCTTAATTAACGTTTTCAAAGGAGAGAAGCCATTGCACCATCTGCAACAAATCAAAATAAATGATGAAGAAAACAGAGGATTCACCTTTTATGCTTCATTGAATAGAGCCCTTCATTAAGGGGAAAGTAATAGTACTTCACTGTGAAATGTGACTTTGTTTTAAAAGTTAGATATCAAAATCATTTGGAAAAGAAATGTAGAGGAGAGGGGAATTGGTCTTATCAAGGTATCCAGCTCCCTCTGCTCTCTGACCTAAGCGAAGTTATTTGCTTCAATGTCAGCAACAACAACAAAAATAAAAAATAAATAAAAAAACCGCAGCCACAAATAAGCGAAAAAAACACCTCAGTTATCCTTGAGTGAGTTGCCATATATGATTAAGTGGAATCACAGAATCACAGAATTGTAGGGGTTGGAAGGGACCTCCAGAGATCATCGAGTCCAACCCCCCTGCCAAAGCAGGTTCCCTACAGCAGGTCGCACAGGTAGGCATCCAGGCAGGTCTTGAACATCTCCAGAGAAGGAGACTCCACCACCTCCCTGGGCAGCCTGTTCCAGTGCTCCGTCACCTCACTGTAAAGAAGTTCTTGCGCACATTTGTGCCGAACTTCCTATGCTGCAGTTTCCGGTTGTTTCCCCTTGTCCTGTCTCCACTCACCACTGAAAAGAGTCTGGCCTTGCCATTCTGCCCCCCACACCTTAGATACTTATAGACCTGGATCAGGTCCCCTCTCAGTCTTCTTTTGTCGAGGCTGAACAGACCCAGTTCACTCAGCCTTTCTTCATAGGGGAGATGCTCCAGGCCCTTCACCATCTTTGTGGCCCTCCACTGGACTCTTTCCAAGAGATCCCTGTCTTTTTTGTACTGGGGAGCCCAGAACTGGACGCAGTACTCCAGATGAAGCCTTACCAGGGCAGAGTAGAGGG